TGTGTACCAGGTGTAATATGCGAGGTCAGAGATACAGAATTGCTCCTGGAGCACAGAGAAGGAATGAGTTCTACTTTGCACAGAGGACTGGAGAGAAGAGCCAAGGAGGAAAGGGTGTTTGCCCTGGGCCTTCAAGGACTGGTTGGATTTCTCCTAGTGGGGAATGTGAGTCCTGGCTCAGGTGGAAGGAGACCCAGTACCAGGAGGCTGGCAAGTAGTCTGGTTTGGCCCCAGTTTAGAATGCCTGGAGACAGAGGCTTGGGAGGTCAAGCCAGCTTGGTAGAAAGGAATTTTAAACTGATAAATTTTGACTAGGTAACAGGATCTTTAATCAGAGAGTGACCTTTAATGGCACTAGAATTTTTAAAAACCTCTCTTTGAGGAGCCTAAATATAGATGACTAGATCTGTAATGTGTGAAAAAGTCTTTTAAAAGTCAAGCAATACATAAATAAGGAGCTTGTTATTTTATAAGATTCAAACAATATGTAAATTTGGAGCCATCATACACTGCTAATAAAAATTTAGGAAGGTATGGTCACATTGGCCAAGTTTGGTAGCTCCTTAACATGTTAAACATAGTGGGTCCATATGACCTAGCATTTATACCCAGGATAAATGAAGCATATGCCTACCCTAAAACTTATACACAGGTGTTAATAGTAGCAAGCAAAACGTGGAAACGGCTTTTAAATGTCCATCAACGAATGAATGAATAAATAAAATGTATATCCATACAAGGGAATATTGTTTGGCACTAAAATGGGAATGAGGTACTGATGCATACCACCACAAGATGAGGTTCAAGAACATTATACTTACTGTTGGGTGTAGTCAGCCTACAGGCCATTTGCCCTATTTCTATTTATTTATAAGAAAAAGTTAAGGAGTGTATCTACCTTCAACAGGGGAGAGATTATACGGTGGTTTATACAACCCATGTATAGGTGCACACAGTACATCCCGCCTCTTTTTCCCCGTTCCCCCTCCTATCAAGCCCCCTTCCCTCCCTGTGTACAAAAGCTTTGCTTCCGTTTTTTCCTTCTAGTTTGTTTTTTTTTTTTTACTTGTCCCTTCCTTTCCTTCCCTCCTCCCTTGTTCCCCTTCCCATTTGAAGATTTTCTTCCCATTTCCCAATATCTATTATACACTTTAGTCTTTATTTCCCTTTTTGGTTTCCAATACCAGAGAATGCAGTATTTAAACAGGTGTGTCTGCTTTATTCACTTAAAAGTATGATCTTAAGGTCCATCCATTTAGCTATAAATGTCTGAAACTCATCATGGCAGAGTAGTACTCCATTGTATATTTAAAAAAAAAACACCACATCTTCTTTATTCATAAGTTGATGAGCATTTGGGCTGTTTCCAAGGTTTAGCTATTACAAAATTGTACCCCTATTAAAATGGGTGTGTATATGCTGCTGTGGTATGATTCTTTTAATTCTTTCAGGAAAATACCAAGAATGGGAATAGCTGGATCAAATGGAACCTCTAGTTTTAGTTTTTTGAGGAATTGCCACATGGCTTTTCACAGTGGTTGCACCAGTCTACACTCCCACCAACAGAGGAGAAGGGTTCTTTTTTTCCCCACAGCTCTTCAAGCTTTTTTTGTTGTTTGAATTCTTGATAGCAGCTATTCTTTCAGGGGTGAGATGGAATTTCATCTTTGTTTTAATTTGCATTTCTTGAATTACCAGTGATGTTGAACATTTTTTTTCATATATTTATTTGCTATTTCTACTTCTTCATCTAAGAAGTGTCTGTTCATTTAGGATGCCCATTTTTGGATGGGCCTTTGAATTTGGCGGGATTTTTTTGAGTTCTATATATATTGTAGATAGTAGTCCTTTGAT